ATAATTGCTCTAACAATTCAGCTGCACAGGGACCATGATTGGCCACAGGGAAAAGGTGGTGTTTACTGCCCAATCAATAATCAATGCTGACACACAATAGTAACTCAATTAATCTTTGCTGAGTGAGTGTGTACACATATGTGTGTCTATGTTTAGAAACAGATGATGGGTGTCTGGTGATGCACAAATACCATTATATAACAGCACATGGTTCGTGATTTCACTCCTCTTTTTTTGTCCTTTTTAAAAAAATGTCAATAGCTTTTGGGGTACAAGTGTTTTGTGGTTACATGGATGAACTGCGTAATGGCAAAGTCTGAGATTTTGGTGCACCTATCACCCAAGTTATAATTTTACTCTTTTTCAAGCATGCATTTTGGTACGTCACACTAACTCCTTCATTGTTTGAAGGGACATTACTAACAGACAAACATTATGAATCCTCTTTGCAAGCAGAACTGTCCAAATAAGAAATGAAGGAGATTAGAGGAGCAGCTACTAACACAAGGCACTGAACCTTGTCCATCTTGGGGCCTACTCTAAGGGGCAGAAGGAGAGCAGGAAGCCATCAGAGGTGGGGAGGCTCATAATGTGCCCTCTGTTCTCACATTGGACAAATGGTTTTGCATGCATTGCAGCTGAGCTGACTGCATAGAAAACAGCACTTGCTTATTAGATAACAGTACTTATCTATTAACCTGCCACAGATTCAACTCAGGAATAAGGTATCAAATTACGATATTGATACAAATGTATATGTTTGTTTTCTCTATGTGTATCTGTATATATGATTCAAATGGCAGTCATAAAGCTACGTGTACAAAAGGCAGTAAGTCACCACTCCGTCAGGAACCATCACTTTAAATGTTTAGCATTATCCCTCAGGTGCTTTGACAGACTGGAAGAGAAAGCACATCCCATAAACAATATCCTGCTTGGGTTCTATCAGCAGGTTCTGGTTTTGTGTTAACTATTATGTCAATGAAAAAGAAAAGATATTATCTGAAGCAAGAGATTGTAAATGCTGTTCCTGTCTATTATGTAATGATCCAAAAGGAAGTGAGGCATTAGTTCTTTAGTTCTGATTTTTCTTTCTACTTCTTTATGTATTTTAAGACTGGCTACAAGGACTTATATTTTACTATATATTCCAAAAGTACCAGCATCATAAGACCTTGTACATGTACAACATTCTTATTACAGATGGGTGAGCATGAATCTAAAATGCAATGTCTTCTAAGACTGAATCTCAAATGCACAAAAAAAGTATATGAATCTGGGCAGCAATCCAAGCGTACTGTAAGACAGTGCCATTGTATTGACTTTCAAGCTATCAATAGATCTCAAGACTTGTGAAAATAAGCCCAGGAATACAACATCCATGTCTTAACTGTATGTTTTCCTGTCCTCTTATTTATTTTTCCTGGTGTAAGCAGAGTTACTCACTGTTACTCTTTTCCTGGTGTAAACAGAGTTACCCACTTGTTACCCATCTGCAAACAGGGAGAGCAGAGGCATATTAAAAACCACAGTGCCAGGGCAAGGAGCCCTAAAGTGACAGTCAAGAACACTGTCTTCTCATTCCAACTTTCCCCTATAAGCCCTGCAACCCTGAAGAAGTTTCTCTCAACTATTAAAATAAGAACAGGTAAAATAATATACAGGATACCGTTGGTAATAATAATGGAAAGTTCTTTAAAAAAATTAACAGATTTTTAACATTCAAAGATTTTTAACATTCATGTAAATGCTTCCTGAAACATACAATTTGGTCACTATAGACCAGTCTATATTAACTTAAGAAATTAGTATATATCTGTCTCTGCCTTTAACCTATCTAGAAAATATAAACAGAAATGATTAATTTTACCAAATAAATTGGTAAAACTTACCAAATTTTAACTGAAATGACTGAGTAAAATAATCACATCATCTATGCTCATTACAATGAACTGCAGTCAGTGACAATACTTTCATAGAAAGATTAATTTCTAGCTCAAAGATGAAAATTCACATCAATGTAAATCTCTCACTTTAAAATCAGTACTGAGAGGATGACATGTTACCATTTTTAAGTCTTTCAGGGGATCTGTCTTATTGGTGGTAAGCACTCAGAAAAGAACAACAAAATGCTAAAAATTTTATGGCTAATACAATTTTGCATACAATAATTTTATCTACATTTCACGATCAAGTACTACTTATACAGAATTTGGGGGAAGCCCTCCTGAGGACCTAAAGAATGGCACTTAGGTCCCATTATAGTTTTTGTATGTGCTATCAAATATTCTTATCAAATTGTTTAGTCAATTAAAACATTATTCTTTTCAGGGACCTTTGAAGGGATATTAATTCATGTTGAAAAAAGGAATTTTTGATGAAATCCAAGAGAATTACATTGATTCAATTGCTCCTTATTGGATGATTACTAGCTGTTACTTTACAAATATCACTGAGAGGATTAAAAAGATTTATCATAGAATCAGAAGGTCAAAAATAAGCTCAGAGAAGGCTAAAAATATTCCTTAAATTTAATTTTTAAATACAGCTTTCCAAAAGTCAGACATGTATTTTAGAGCAATCTTGACATCTCCAGAAGTGCATAAATAAATTTAAACCTGTCAATGACCTACTTTAATGAAAGAAATTACAACCATCTTAAATACTTGTAATTTATCTTTAGGATGATGCTGAGTTGCTAATTTTATTATTCAAAAATTATAAATCATGACAAATTGAGCAAAATCAACCATCTAGAGGAAGACATGAAAATAAAGACTTTAGCTAAATAGAAAACTGAGTTGGCCTATTCCTGAATGTCTTATCATTGCTAAAAATTCATAAATCTTCTCAGAGAGGAGACAGGAATCATAGGAAAATACAAGCCTAATTACTAGAGTCAATTCTACATACACCAAGTATAAATATATATATTTAAAGAAAGCAGTTTGACAATATAGAAAGTAACTACCAGGCAGGTACATTACATTGCGTTCTTCAACCTCCACTCTCCCTTTCCTCCTTAGTAAATACAACAGTAATTTTTTTTTCTGATGAGTGCATTGCTTCTTGGAATAAAAGATTACATGCTAGGAATAAATATCTTAAAAGATTACATGCTAGAAATAAATATTTCCCGGGAAATCTGCTTAAAGAAAACTGACTTGTGTTTGGGAGCCCACATTTTTTCATGTTTTGCCTTTCCTACTTCTGACCTGTTCCATATTTATGCTGGTTAGAGCTCCAGCAGCCATTCCGCACCCTGAGGTCATCTTAGTATGGAAGCCATGCAATAGGAAAGGACAGAAAAGTGAGAGGTGAGTCTCTGATGACACCACAGAAACACCATACAATCATTCCAGCTTGTATCTAGACTACTTTAACATGAGACAGAAATACACTTCTAGCACCTTTAAACTACTGTTATTTTGGATTTTAATGTTTTTTACTTTTTCTGTTATAGCAGCTAAAGTGATTTTAACTAATATAGTCAATTTTTCAAAATACTCAAAAGTAATAACTGAATCATCTACCTAATTTGTTTTTACTTGATGACTGTTTACATAGACTCAGTTTTAACTTTTTTCTATTCTGTTAACAGTTTTTGTGAGGCTTCTTAAAATACTAATATATCTTGTAAGAAAATCAGCACTATGGACAATTTATCTTAAGAATGTTTTCTTCACATATTATAAGAGACAGAGAGAAAAAATTACTGGAAATTCAACTCCTAAGGAAAATTTTCCCTTCTAATTCCCCCAAATACAATAACCAGTACAATGAAACATCCTATAAATTTGTGTTTTCTAAAATAACTTAGGAAAAAAGAAAAGAAATAGACATTTATGAATCTTCCACTATTCCGTTACTTAGCAGATACTTTTGTTTAATTCTCCCAATCAACACTTTAGATAGTTAACATTATCCTCATACTTGAAAGATGAGGTAACTGAGGCTTGGGGATATTTAGTAATGCTTTCATGGTCTTCACACAGTAAGTCCAATTTCAAATTCCATACTCTTTTCATGATACTCTGGTACAGAACATGGATTGACATGTGAGAATATGAAGAGCACTTTCTAGTTCAAACACTTTTCTATTTTTCTTATTTCCAACATTGTTTTTTAAAAACAATTGTTCTTACAAAGAAACAAAAGTTAAATGTTCAATTTCCAAATGAAAATTACAACAAAACCTCCTGATGAAAGCCTAAGGCTCTGCAGAATCCTATTTCAACTATGTGTAAGAAAAAAGAGCAAGAGAGGAGGGAAGAAAAAGAGTGAGAGGGAAAGAGAAAACAAACCTAGTTATCTCCATCTCGGCCTTATATGAAAAGGACTCTGTTCTAATTGTATACTTTTTTCTCTCCTACTATATTATATATACTGGGACTATGAAAGCTTTCATCTTTCTAACCTAGAAATAAAAATACAAATAGTTACAAGATTTTAGTATCAGAAAAATTCCCAGTACAGTAATCTCTGTCTCCCTCACCTCACTTTGATCTCCGTCTCTTTCTCCTCTAACTGAGCAGAAAGAAAAAGCAAAGTGTCAACAGTAATTTCTTTTTTATTTTTCAAAGTAAGTGGCTGATATATTAAGCTCTCCGGCTACAAAGTCATGAAAAGCAAAAGAAAGTCATTATAGTGGAAAAAGAAACCACAGCCTCCAAATGTTTTAGAATTCATACTAAAAGTAACTCCGTACTATTACTATGTATACACATGTATTATGTGTATGTTCTCATAGTGTACAGCCAAAAGTAGAAATACAAAGTCTGACAAGAAAAGCTACTGTATATATCTTGAAATCAATTAAAATAACATTTAAGCAAACCAAGGTATTTATATTATAAATTATTGTTGGAAGATTATCATTTTTGTGGTTGATTACTACAACAAAATTAATTTTCTTTTAAGTGTCACAGAACTTACTAAATATCTTGTAGTTGGTACAGTAATAAAAATGTATTTTATGTTAAGTGATGTTCAGTACTTACCACCTCCTCCTCCAAGAAGACTGGCATTTGCTGTTTAAAACAAAACACAAGAGACATTAAATAATATGTATAAGAAACATAGCATATCAGAGTAGTTCAAGATTAAGCTGATAATGATCATATGTCTCATATACATTCATAAACACAAAATATTTACTTTTATTTAAAGACAGCCTGTATTACTATTTTATGATAGTATGAAAATTAAAATATTTCACTATTTTTATCTTTTTTCTCTTCAAATGGCTTTTATAATATATTTCCTTCTAATAAAATTAAGCACATATTGAGATTGTTTTATTCTCAGTTCTGTATCTAAATTAATCTTCTGAGTTCTCCATTTTATCAAGTAGAAGAGAACAATATTATTTAGCCAATTTCAATGATTTCAAAGGACAATGTAACAAAAAAGTATTATGGTACTTCAAATTAAGTTAAATACAATGGAACAAAACTATCACAAAACATTTTGCAGTAAGAAATAACTCCTAAATAATAACAATTTACTTCTTTTTCTATTAACTTTTTATTTTGAGGAAAGAAAGAAATGTTAAACAATGCTGTGCTATTTCTTACTATTTATTCATTAACCCAGCACACACATTTATAGGAGCTAAATAAGTATAAAACAATTCCATTTGGATTTCTTTCAAAAGGTCAAATATTCAGGAAGTTCCACTGCAGGTTTCTGCTGAAGTATTAAACAACTTTATGCATAAATTTATCCAAATATAATAACCAGAAAGCATAATTCAATATATACTACACTGAGTTTTAATACATAGAGTTCTTAAGTATCACAGAGATTATTTCATGCCACTAAAAAATAGCCCGAGAGTAATACAAGGAAAGTAGGTAGCAACCAAGCTCCACTTCTTTGTAAACACTGGGACTGTCTAACCGTTGCTCTTGCTAACTGCCCTCAGTGCTTTTGTCACAAACATGGTCCAAGAAGCAATGTCATTAATGGACCATAAACAAAACTCACTTCTGGTGTCATAAAGTCATCCACCGCCCTATCACTCAGGTCTGTAAGTGTGTGGTAGTTACACAGACAGTAGCCAAAACTTAAGGTCCTGCCCTGAATCTAGCTTTGTAGCTTTTGAAGTGGTCACTTGTTGAAGGGGCCTGAGGATAGACATTGAGAATTCTACTTGGTCTCACACCCTTTAGTGGAAAAGAGAAATTTCATGATCAACCCATGTCTGTAGGCTAAACCAAACATTTTCTAAAATCTTAGCTACATGCATTTATAAAACCACATGAAATTTCACACTCCTGCTGATTTTTTATTTTTATATTTGACTGAGAACTACCTCCCTATCTATAGGCTCTCCAGTTCCCTGGGACTCCATCTGTTGTCCTCCAATTTTGACATATTCATTCATAAGGAAAAAGGTATTTTTAACAACCAACAACAATAATAAATAGGAGCTCTTCACTTAAATTATCACGCTCAGTAGCACAATAAGACAATATAGTCTATTTTCATCCAATGTTTTGCTCAATAAAGGTGGAGGTTGCCTGTTTTGAGAGCACAGCCCAAGGCCCATCTGTTTAACCAGGCGCTTGTCCAATAGACGTGGGTGGATGGGTAGGTGTAGGGATTGGAATTCTGGTTCTGGCCAATCATCAAGTTAGTTTTTGTCAAATGTGTGCTCATGTATTTTACATAAGCATATCCAGTAACATTTTAACTTCACTATAGAACTATTTTACAAAATTGTGGCATTCTACATAGCACACAATCACTTTTAAGGTAATTCCATATGTATTACCATCCATGTAATAGAATCTTAATTTAATCTTGATTTAATCTGCTCAATCATATTCACAGAAGTTCCAATAACTATAAATCCAATAATGATTTTTCCAAGGAATCCATCAAATTTGTCTATTTTATACATTTCTATTCTCTAAAAAATAACAAAAAATTTGAATTTATTAGCAAAAATGTCAAGGCAATTTTCTTCAGTAAAAGTGATATAAAAATATGCAAGTAAAGGTGGAACTTCATTATTTCTAGTACTACTTTCCCTCCACAAAGCACTCCAGTAACTGGTTATCCAACATTCATTGGTCAGTTGGATTCATGTTACTTCTTCCATTTTACAGAAGTGAAATGATTTTGTGTGTCAAAAATTAATAATCATTTAGTTTCTATTTCATTATATCCAATAAATTGAGGTATATCCTAATTAATTGAAAGCTTCTTAAAGGCAAGGTCTGAGTATAATGGTTTGGCCTGCATCTAATAAATTTCAAGACATGTTTTCTAATAGTGAGATAATTGGTAGATTTAGTCAATTTCTTCATTAATACAAGAGGTACTTGTTTACTGAAGTGTGTGAAGAAAGCAAACTTTGACCATTTTTCTTTCTATAAAATCAAAGATTACTTAAGAAACTCTTAAAGCTTATTTGGAAATACTTAGTAAGAATGCATAAAATATATTTATGTCTCTATCTAAATTTATTCCTACAGGGAATTCTGGACATGTTTCCTATTAATCCTAGAGTTTCACAGAGAAAGAAAAAGAAGAAAAGGAAAGAGGAAAACTTGAAGTTCATGAAGATGATGCCACTGTTTCAGGATTTAAAAATCTCTTCATGCTTATGAAGCACGACTATTTTAATTCATATTTCCCTGAAATAAAATGTCTCCTTTATTACCAGTGGAAGGGAGGAAAAATCAAGTTACAGTTATTGTCTCAAAGACTGATTCAATGTAAAACTAAAATGAGCTATTACAAGATAATGAATTTGTGTATTGTACTTTTTCTTCCCCCTAAAATAAGTTCACGCAAGGAGATGGAGTTTTACTGTTCATAAAGTGAAAACAACATGAACACAAAATGGAGAAAACGGTTATCTGAAGCTAATTTCATAGTGTCAAATATGGAGAATTAATTTCCAATATCCTAAAAAATGGTTACTTTTTAAAATTTATGAGAACTTTTTTCTTTCATTTGAACCTAGTTTTAAATTTTTCAATTAAAAGTTTCAAATTTCTATAGCTATAAATATTCACTATTAAAGTATTAAAACAAAAAATGAATATGAAATAGGAACCCCTTTCTTGGGATAATTAGCCTAAATGAAAAATGATCATGGCAGTTGTCAATACCACATTAATATATGTTTTTCTCAAAATACAAATGAAAAAATGCTGGGAGAGGTAACTCACATGATCATGAGCCAGGAGGCTGAGGCAGAAGAATCACGTGAATCTGGAAGGCGGAGGTGGCAGTGAGCCAAGATTGTGCCACTGCACTCCAGCCTGGGCAACACAGTGAGACTCCAGCTCAAAAAAAAATAAGTGTTTCAAATACTTTTTTTTTTCTTTTTGCCCAGTAATTTTTATTACCTACACAGTAATTGTTTGTTTTTCCACTCCATTTCCACCCCACCCAAGACTATCCGTTAAACACACAAGAGTCTGGGAAACTAGTCTTTAAACATTGATTAAAACAATTTGTGCAGGGTTTTTGTTTGCTTTTCATCATTATAAAGGAAATTATACTTCTTTTCATCCTAAGAGAATCCTGACCACCTAGTTTAGTTTATTTATTCTGCTTTCTTATTACAATGGAGCACATGGGATATCAAAAGGACTGGGCAAAAACTTCCCCAGGAGCTCTACTTAAAACACCAATTTCATTCACAACATGCTATCCCCAAAGATAAAAAAGCTGAAATACCACCTTTCAGAATGGCACACATTATAGTCCCTATGGTTTGAAGCTCTAAGTAGGAAGTACTAAAAAATCTGATAAATTAAAATCCCAAGCGCATGCATGACTCTAGAACCGCTTTATATAGAAAGCAACCATCGCACCAGACAGCTGTGGAAATACAACCTACACTGACAAATACAGCTATTAGTTTGGCAACAGGCCACTGTCGAGGCTTTACTAGATTTGCACCTTTCAAACAAAATCAACAGAATTTCAGAGGTTTGGGGCAACAATGTAATTTCCTGCTTTGAAGGTGACAGAGAGAAAATTAAGAATAGGCTTAACTGATTCACATGTAGAAACCAAGCATAAACACATGATTAATACTTTACAGTTCCTGTTATTACAGAAATTGAAGAAAAGATTGATTATTCCAGTATTGTGTTGTTTGTTTGTACAAGCTGTCACTCACTATGAAGCCAAAAATATAATACAATGACCCCTACCTCTGATAAATAGGTGAAAAGGCATCAGAAATTGGAAGTCTTAATTGGGATGATTAACAAATAAAACAAAACAGAATTACTGCTGTTGAAGTACAAGGAAGGAGCTAGAGCTGCTTCTCGTTTGCCTCACTAGGTACTCAGTGACATCTAGGAATACTGTAGCATGGGGGGAAACAAAACAAAACAAAACACCAAAAGCTAAAAACAAACAAACAACCTCCCCCCCTTAGTTGATCCAACCCCTTCATTTTACAAAAGTAAAAAGCTAAAGAGGATCAAAGATGTTGTTAACTTACTTGTTTAGGATCAGATCCAGAAGAACCCACCATAAGATAGTGTCAATTTAGATGTTTAATAATAACTTCCTCTTAATAAATTATAAATATGTGTATGTGTTTCTGTGCGGGTATTCCAGCCCTCCCACTCCCCAAAATTACATCCAAAGATGGTTATAGAAAACAATATGCCTGGAGTCTACTGAATGTGACTCTACCCAAGATCACCTAACTGTTGTTAAAGGGTAAAGTAAAGCATTAGCAGGCAATTCCTAGAGTTAATTGTTAAAGAGTAAAGTAAAGCATTAGCAGGCAATTCCTAGAGTTCTATTATGCAATGTATCTAATGCAAAATGAGAGAAATCAGAATGTGCTGGATACCAGTCATCCTTTATCACACTAAATTGTAGATCAATTGTAATTTTGATAATGATGATACTGGCTCAGTTACAAAAAATGGGATTACTTGAGTAACCCAATCTGGGGCTTTCCAAAGAGTGAAGAAGCATATCAAAATAGGGAAAAAATTAGTTCAAATGTTTATTAGTTTTATGGTTATAATTATATGAGACA